GGAAGGGGTGGGCAGGGGCTTCCCAGCTGAAGGAGCAGAGAACAATGGATTGTGTTCAAGGCACTCATGGAGGTTGGTCGTGACTGGAGAGGGAGGCAGGGTTGGATCTGTGAAGGCCTTGAAGGCCAAGTGAAGGACTTGGAGAGCAGAGGGAAGCATGGATCAGTTTGGAGCAAGGGAGTAACATGGTCTGATTTGCACTTTGGAAGGACCATCCTAGCTACTGTGTGGATTATGGGAGGACACAGGCAGATGCAGACAGAGCTGACCAGTCTGGGAAAGACTTGGTCTGCCTGCTTGCTGAGCCTCAGTCTCCCCATCTAGAATATGGGTGTAACAGTAGCCCTACCTGCCTCACCAGGTTAGGGCTGGCACCCAGTTAGGCAAGAAGTGTGCAAGACAGGAAAAGTCATGCTTGTTGAACCCTGACATCTAGGCATTTTAGGATTTATACTAGGCATTTTAGGATTATTTCCTTTCACCCACACAAAACTCTGTGGGGATCAGTATTATCACCAACAAAGAGGTCATTCTTCTGAGGTCACACAGATGGTCAGTGGTGAAGTGCCCCTTTTGGGGGAGTGGAGAGGGCTGCGGAAAGCAAGGATGTTATGCTGGGCACTGAGGAGTGAGTGAGCCCATGTCCTGAGGGACATGCTGGGTGCTTGACGGCCCCCAGGAACAATGTCACCAAGCCCTAGACTTGATGGGGCATCAGATAGGCTGATATAGCCTTTGTCATCAGGAGTGTTTTGATAAGGCCTGAAAAACAAACTTGAAAAACAATCTCCATACAGACTTCCTTATCACATCCCTGGCACCATCATCAGCAAGCACAGGTCGATAAGGCTGCAGAGTCAGCTGCACTCATTCCTAGGAACAAAAAATTCTGATGTGTAGAAACAGACATGTCAAAAAATTTCCCACGTCAAAGATGCCTCATCAAAATGTTCTGCTTTAGTGCCTGGCTCTGTGCGAGGTCCTGATGGGTACAGGAGCATCGGAGATAGCATGGTGGGCCCAGGTGCAGACTTGCACACACAGACACCAGCACAGAGTGAAAAGGCCACTGGGGAGGGAGGGACAGTGAGCTGGGGAGGGACAGTCAGGGCAGCTTCTCAGGAAGTACCACTTCACCAGCAAGGAGTCAGCCAGGCACAGGAGGGCCAAGCAAGCTGAGAGGACAGTGGTCTAGCCGAGAGGAGAGTCCGGTTGATTCAAAGAACTGTAAATTGCTCTATGTGCAAGGAGTGGCATGTGGGGAAGACTGGACCCAGAAAGATACTGGAGGTCCAGATTGGACTTGAAGTTGAGGCAGGAGGAGGCACTGAGGTGGATCAACCCCTTTTTAAGGATAAGGAGACAGAGGCTCAGCTACAGGGTGCTTGGCCTAGAGAGCCTCCCACGGGAAGAGAACAGCCTGGCTGGGCTTTGTATGAAGATATGACTACTAATTTACTGTTGAATTGTTCATAGCAGCAAAGAGGGGGCCTTCCTGCAGTTTGGGGGTGAGGGGACTGGAACGCACTGGAGCGATGGAGGGAGTGGAGGGAGCAGCTGGATAGAAGAGGGAGGGTCTTGTGGTGAAACAGATCCCTGCAAAAGTAAAGGACAAGCTGGCATGGCCCCTCCAGGCCTCTGGACACTGGACCCAGTGCTCTTTCCCCATCTTCTCGCCCAGTGTTGCCCCTTCCCACCGAGTAAGTGCTTGCCAGGTGCTGGCCGGCTGTGGGGCACCAGCAGTGAGGAGCTGAGATGTATCCCCTGCCCTGCTGTGGTTGAAGGAACTTCAGGGTGCAGATACTGAATCATTATTGTTACCAAGGAGAGGTACCCTGTGTATTTCACTCTGCTGTGTCCTGATTTCCCTGAGATTGTCACTCAAGCTGAGACCTGGAGACTGAGGAAGAATTAGGCAGGTGAGGGGTGATGATACAGGCAGAGACGAGCACAGGAACAGGCCAGGGATGGGATATGTGTGTGAGCCTGAAAGATGGCCATTGTGGATGGCACCCAGCTGGTATGCGGTGGTGCAGGTGAGTGTGGTAAGAAAGGAGGGCAGGGCCGGGTCTCCCAGGGCCTGAGAGTGGAGGGAAGCTGCTGGTGGCTCAAGAGCAGGGATTTGCCTTTTGGAAACATGAATCCAGGCCAGTGCTGAGAACTGTCTGGAAGGGGCAAGAGTGTATTGGGGAGAGTGGCTAGAGATAGTGGTGTCCGTGGGAATGGAGACAAGTGGGTACTGTGAGGAGCTGGGCTCAGAAGGGCTTGACTGGGTATAGAAATGAGATTCCCAGCTGTGGTGAGAGCAGCTGCCCCTATGGTGCAGCCATTTATCAACATCGGTAAGTGGGCAGAGAAATAGTTTGTGGGACTATATGAGGGGCAGAACATGATTTTTTTCAAGTCCTAAGCCTGGGATATGAAGAATGTGGGCTTTGGAGTGAGAGAGTTGGGTTCTATCCTAATTCTACCACCACTAGGGGTGTGATCACAGGTGGGACACTTCTGAGTCTCAGTTTGCTCATCAGCGAAATGGGGGTGATAATGCCTCCCTCATAGGACTGTTGGGAGGATACGATTAGATAATATAGGCAAAGTGCCCAGCAGGATGTCTGCCACATAGTAAGTGCTCAATCAATGTGGGTTCCTTTTCCTTGTTGGGGGATGGGAACCACAAGGGAGGAGGGAACCATGGGAGAGGGGTCAGCAGGCCTGCCCCTGCCCCTGCCCTCGGCTGGGCTCAGGCTCAGGTGAGAGCCCTGTGCCTGATGGGGCCAGTTCAGGGGCTGTGAGGAACCCCAGGCCTGTGGGACCCATGCCAGCTGCCAACAGCACCCCTCTCTCACCCACAGGGAAGCGCTGCGAGGGCAGCTGCTGCCTGCTGAACAGGATGAGGATGCCGAGGGTGTGTGCAAGCCTCTGTCCTGTGGCTGGGAGATCACGGACACCCTGTGCGTGGGCCCTGTCTTCACCCCGGCGAGCATCATGTGAGCGGGTCCCGTCCCCCCATGGAGAACCCCAGCGGGGCCGCAGCGATGCCTCTGGGAGAGGTGGGGAAGATGGCAGGCAAGGGCACCCTCTGGCCAGGACTCTGGTGCCCGCTCTGCCGCTCCCACGCTCCACCTGTAGTGTTTCTGCCCTGTAAATAGGACCAGTCTTACACTCGCTGTAGTTCAAGTATGCAACATAAATCCTGTCCCTTCCAGCCGTGTCTGCCTCCTCTGCAGCGCGAGGGGCCTGGCCAGCCAGGTGTGGGGGTGTTCTTGGGGTCTCCCTCTGTCTCCTTCCCACCTTTGTAAATATGAAGCAAATAAATATTTAGGTTTTTTTTAATACTCCAGTGGAATCCAGCAGTTCCATTCACAAAGCAGCCTGGGCTAGGCCTGGGGTGAGACTTCCCCATGCTGCACAAATGAGCCCATGCCCTCCACCTCAGTCCTGACTGTGCTCCCAAGTCCAGCTGCAGTGCAGGCCTCCTCCACCTGCACCCACCTTCTCAGACTCATCTCTCCTCCTCACGGGCCCCCAGGCCTGGCGCCACAAGGAAAGGGGAGCTGTCGGGGTTCAGGTGGGCAGTCAGAGTTGCCTCCCTTCATGCAGCTCATGACTAGCGAGTGGCCTCTGTGTGAACCCCACATCCAGCCTAAAGCCTGGCCCAAAGGAGGGGCAACTGAATACTTGATACAGGTGTGGAAATTCATACCAAAGGTACAGAGCCAAGAGATGGGTGTCCAGGGGGTTTTGAGTAGACCCTGCACTCTTGCTGTCCTTGCAGGCTGGCCAGGCAGTAAGAGTAATATGAACATGGGGTCATCTGTTTTGCTTATATGGGCAGTAACCATTAGAACAGCGCTGGACACAGAGTACTGCTGTGTCCAGTGTGGATAGATCTGATGTCCCCTCAGATGGCAGTGCTTATCAGGACAAAGGCTCCTTCACACTGCCAGGGTCCCCAGCTATGTACCTACAGTGTGTTAGCTGCTGAGCAAAGCAGTTCAAGTTTCAGAGTTCCCCCAGCTGCTGCAGGGGACCCTAAAGATTTTTCTTCTGCAATTAAAAAATTTGAAATATAATTCACACACTATAAAATTCACACTTATAAAGTATAGAGGTCAATGGCCTTTAGTATATTAACAGAGTTATGCAACCATCAATTCTAGAACATATTCACCACTCCAGAAAGAAACCCTATACCTGTTAGAAGTCACTCTCCATTTTGCCTTTCCCCCAGCCCCTGGCAACATTAAGCTATTTTCCATCTCTATGGATGTGCTTATTCTGGAGATTTCATTGTGACAGCTTTTATATCTTCACTTGGGCTTCTCTCTGGGCCAGCCTGGACATCCTGCTTCAGTATCTCATTCAGGCCTGGGACCTGCTCCTGCCTCTGGGGTCATCCAATGAGCAATGTGCCAGGTGTTTAGAGTGAACTTGGTGTGTGCCCAAAGCTGGGGTGTCTCCCTTTTCGAGGCTGGGCCTAGTTTCTGACACTTTGACAACAAATAGGCTGAAACCGCAAGACATCAAGACTCAGAGCAGTCAGAAAGGGTTGCTCTACTGCCCCTCTGTGATCCACCATGTTTTACAGTTACTGCCATGCGGTCTCAGCTCTCTACCAGACCATTTCTGAGATTACTTCCATTTCAGATCTCCAAGCAGATCTGGACGTGCTAATACTTTTTTTTCTTTTCTTTTTTTTTTTTTTGAGGAGGGGGACAAACAGGTTTTTCTGATGGAGCTGGGCATGTGCTGCCAAAGGTGTGGGAGCCCCAGGGAGACACAGCTGGCTACGCTGAGACCCAGGTGTAACTCATTCCCTCATGTGAGGCAGGTTCACAGTGGGGGGAATGACACTGATTTTTACTGCTTTTGAAGTGACAGTAGCTGGCATGGAGTCCGAACAAATTTCTCACTGGAACCTTTCTAGAGTTTCATGTTCCATTTGTGCTGAGAATGTGAAATTTCACAGAAAGATATACACAAAACTAGATGTGACTTACTTGAGAATAATAGTTAACAGTCTTCTCTTTTCAGTTTTCGTTTTTGTTTCTTATTTCCACCTTTTTCTAAAGAGAAAGAAAAAAAAAGCATTAAATGTGGAGAATGTTAAGGAGCTTTAGGTCTTTACAGCGGAATCTACCCTGGCTGCAAAGGCACAGCCTCCTCTGAGCTCCTCCCTAAGAAATCCACTGGCACTGGCCCCTGCTGCCATCTGGCTGTGTCTTGCTGGCCTCTCACAGACGTCTTGCCTGGAACCTCACCTGAGAGACATCTTCCTCCCAACCTCAGCACCTGCAACGTACCTGCACCTCCCCAAAGTCCTCCTGTGTGCTCATTCACTTTTTCTCTCTTTCACTCCTTCCTGGAGGTTAAGGAGCCTGCCACTGCCCAGACTGAGTGTCCATCCTCTCCCACTCAGGCCTGGCCTCCCCATCTTCCCTCTTCCCCTCCACAGTGCACCCTCCACTCAGCAGCCAGATCCTGTCACTCTTGTGATTCCACTGCACCAAGAATGAAATTGAAAGTCCTGCTGGGCGTGGTGGCTCACGCCTGTAATCCTAGCACTCTGGGAGGCCGAGGTGGGTGGATTGCTCAAGGTTAGGAGTTCGAAACCAGCCTGAGCAAGAGCGAGACCCCATCTCTACTATAAGTAGAAAGAAATTAATTGGCCAACTAATATATATATATGGAAAAAATTAGCCGGGCATGGTGGCGCATGCCTGTAGTCCCAGCTACTCGGGAGGCTGAGGCAAAAGGATCGCTTGAGCCCAGGAGTTTGAGGTTGCTGTGAGCTAGGCTGATGCCACGGCACTCACTCTAGCCTGGGCAACAAAGCGAGACTCTGTCTCAAAAAAAAAAAAAAAGAAAGAAAAAGAAATTGAAAGTCCTCACCCAACTTCCTCTCTGACTCCCACTCCTCCCTCTCACTCAGTGTGGATGCCGGCCACAGTGGCCTCTTCTGTTCCTCAGACACTACACTGCTGGACCTGCATCTACCATCCCCTTGCTCTAGAATGATCTTCCTGGGTTATGTGTGGGGCTTGATCACTTCATTCGGGTTTTGCTCAAATGTTTTCTTTAATTCTAGTGCTCTGGGAGGCTGAGGCAGGAGAATTGCTTGAGGTCAGTAGTTCAAGACCAGCCTGAGCAAGAGTAAGACCTGGTCTCTACTAAAAAGAGAAAAATCAGCCAGGTGTTGTGGCATGTGCTTGTAGTCCCAGTTACTCGGGAGGCTGAGGCAGGAGGATCACTTAAATACAGAAGTTTTAGGCTGCAGTGAGCAATAATTATGCCACTGCACTCGAGCCTGGGCAAAAGAGCGGGAACCAGTCTCAAAAAAAAAAAAAAAAAAAAAGATTGTGATTGCAAGTATGAATCTTTCAGGCTCAGCTTGGGCATCTCTTCCTTCTCCCTTACTTTCTATGCCTTTATGCCTTGGTTAGGTATTGCTCTTCTGGGGTTTCGTCCATACTCCTCTGTGCTTTCATCTATCTTGTATTTGCCCCTATTAAAAAATAACTGATTACAATATACTGTAAATTTTTCTCTTTACAAACTTGTCTTTCTATCTAATGCTGTTAATTCCATGAAGACAGGTGTATTTTTCCTACTTGCTAGCATGATCTAGAGCCTGGGTCTGTGCCTGGCACACAGTAGGTACTTAGTGTCTTTTGCATAAACTAGGCTTTGAAGGTGTGGGTAGGGGGCCATCTGGCCCCGTCTCTGCTCCTGAATAGGCCTAGATCCTGCAGTAGGGAAAACATTCAGTGGAACGAAATAATGGGGGGCCTTTAAAATAACCTCAGGGTTGCACTTGGAAAACACTAGTGAGCCCTAGGCGGGGAGGCACACAGGCATACAGGACGCTTCAATAGCTTTCTGCTCTTCCACTCAGCTAGGTGACTTTGGAGTCGGATCGCCAGATAAAATACAGGGCACCCAGTTAAATTTGAATTCGGATAAACGAATAATTTTTTAGCATACGTATGTCCTATGCAATATTTCGGACATTCTTATACTAAAACATGACTCATTATTTATCTGAAATTCAACTTTGAGCATCCTGCATTTTCTTTTTTTTTTTTTTTTTTTTTGAGACAGAGTCTCGCTTTGTTGCCCAGGCTAGAGTGAGTGCCGTGGCGTCAGCCTAGCTCACAGCAACCTCAAACTCCTGGGCTCAGGCGATCCTCCTGCCTCAGCTCCCAAGTAGTTGGGACTACAGGCATGCGCCACCATGCCCGGCTAAAGTTATACATTTATATTTTTAGTTGTCCAGCTAATTTCTTTCTATTTTTTTAGTAGAGACGGGGTCTTGCTGTTGCTCAGGCTGGTCTCGAACTGCCGAGCTCAAACGATCCGCCCGCCTCGGCCTCTCTGAGTGCTAGTATTACAGGCGTGAGCCACCGCGCCCGGCCGGCATCCTGCATTTATATTTGCTAAATCCAGCAACCTTATTCTGGCAAGTCCCTGTACGCTGGATGTCCCTCTCTGGGTTTCATTTTCCCCATCTGAGGAATGGGGATATTTCTGTGAGACTTGCCTCAGGGAGTCCTCAGAGCAACCCCTCCCAAAGGGTCGTCCTAGCCCTTTGAGGAGTCATGTGAGAAGCGCGCCGGTCTGGGGTGGCTTCTCGCTGAGTGAATACGAGAAGCCCCTTCCTCTACGGGCTTCGGTTTCCTCATCCGAGCATAGGAGATCGTCAAAGTTGGAAACCACACTCTAAACCATCGCTTGGCGGAACTACAATTTCCCAGCTTCCAGCCTCCGGAAGCCCTCACAACAGCCACTAGTCTTCGAGGCAGTGGACTTCCGGTGGCGTGACGTCACTTCCATAGCTAAGAGCCTCCTAGGCTTCGAACCACGCACTCTCGCGCCCTCTGCCGGCTCGGAGGAGGGACCGACTTTACCAAACAGTGATAAGAAACGGCGGAGTCCATTGGTTGAAAGACGGAAAGACGCAGGTCCGCCTCCTCAGCCGTCACCAATGGAAAACCGAACCTTCGCCGAGGGCGGGGCTCCCACGGGAAAGGGGTCAACCCGGGACGGAGGCGGCCTGGGAAGGGGGCGATCTGCTCTCCGCCGGGCTAGAAGGGCCCAGTAACGCCGGAAGCGGGCTCCTTTGCTTATCAGCCACTTCCTCTTTCACTTAGGGAGAATCCGAATGAAAGAATCGGAAAGCTGTGCGGTTCTAGGAAGACTAGTCTCCGGTGTTCTCCTCACCCATTCATTTCACATCCGAGAGAAGACACCTGCTGAGTTCACGCAGAAAATGAGGGGCTTTGTAAGAATTCTTGGTTTCCAGGGCGAGGAGTTTTACATTTTAAAATTAAGAGCACCTGCTGTCCTCCCTTAGCCCTCACGCTTTATTCATGTAATCCACCCAAGCCTGTGAGGTGAATGTTATGACACGGACTCCGACTCCTCACTGCCTATGGCTCTGCCGGTTATTAGCTGTGTATCCTGGCCCCAGTAACTCTCTGCCCAGTTTCTGTGTCTGTAAAGCAATGGGATAATAGCACCTACCTTATACCATTGTTTTAAGGATTAAATAAATAACATTTAAAAAACACTCAGAACATCACCTGGCATAGTAACCACATAAGTTATTTCCATTTACAAATTAGGAAATTGAGGCTTAGATATGAAGTAACTTAGAACAGATAGCACCTAGTGGAGGCAGGTTGAGAAGTGTCTGTGCCTAAGCTGAGGGACCTCTCAATCACTATACCCATCCAGCTCTCTTCCTGTGTTTAAAGGAAGTCTGTGATGACCATAATTGTCTTTATAGCACCATGTGTATTTAGTAGCACCCTATTACCAAATGGCTGCTGTCTGGGCGTTTTAATAACTCTAATGAAGTTGGTGAGGTTCCATAACTTGTCCCTTAGTCCAGGGGCAAAGCTTCTGGGAGAAGTCAGAATGGATGGCTACAAGATCCATGTCCTGCTAAGCCCATTGATGGAAAATCAACTTCTGAACGTTATTATAAATTCAAGATCCTGTGAGATATATAAGTGGAGATAATTGTGATTTGATCTGGTAAGAGCTGTGTTAGTGGAAAGCACAGGCCGCCAAGGGAGGTCTGATTAGGGATGGACAAAACTGCCTGCTAGGGTTAGGACAGACTTGGCAGAAGCAGCGGGTCTTGATGTGTGAGTAGAAGCTGGCCAAGTAGAAATGGGAAGGTTGAGGGGAGCATTCCAGACCAAGGTAATGGCGTGTACAGGGCGATAGTAGTGTGATGATTCAGAGCCCTTTCTTGAGAACTAGAGTACAGGATGGAAGATGAGAATGCAATGGAGTTTGAGGACATATGAAGGGTTATATTGTGGAGGTATCAGCAGGTCATCAGAATTTCTGAGCAAGCAAGAGAGGAGGTCAGCTTTGCACTTTATATGACACACGAGGAGGCAATGAAGAGGGCGTGTTAGGCAGTCTCTAAGACATCCTCAGTGATCCCACACCTCAGTATTCATACCATGGATAATTCTGTCCCCTTGAGCATGGACTGGGTTTATTGATTCTATTCCAATGGATAGAATATGTTAAAAGTGATGGGTTGTCATTTATAAGACTAAATTACAAAAAGGCTGTGGCTTCTGTCTGCCTTGCTTGTCAAAGAACTGAAGACTCTGATCAATGTCCAGCAAGGACTTGAGGCCTTCTAACAGCTGTGTGAGCTTGGAATTGGATCCTCCCCCAGGCAAGCTTTGGAATGACCACAGCCCTGACTGCAGCCATGTGAGAGGCCCTGAGCCAGAGGACCCAGCTGAACCACACCCAGACTGAGATAATAAATGTTAGTGGTTTTAAGTTTTACCTAATTTTAAGGTAATTTTTGGTGCAACAACAGATAACTGACACAGAGGGATTAGCAGCAGCGAGAGAAAGCAAGAAAATTAGGAGATTGTTGCTGTAGGCCATCTGTTTGATGATAAGAACCTGAATTGAGCAGCGGATGTGAGGGTGAAGAGCAGGGGATGAATTTGAGATATGTCTGGAAAAAGAATGGAAGACGTTTGGCAATGGAATTGGATGTGGGAACAAGGGAGAAGGTAGAGGAGAGAGCAGTGCCAGTGTTTGGTAACATGGGGGTTGGTATTTGCTAGAGCTGCCAGCAGGCAGGTCACAGGGGATGAGTTTAAAAAGTAGCTCCTTGAGATTTCTGGCAACAACAAGATAGATCAACAAAACAGACTCAGGTTGGACAAAGAAAATAGTCACTGTGAAAGAAATAATGCAGAAAAATAGAATTGAGCAAGAGCTAGAGGGAACTCTCTCCCCTGAGTTAGATTTACTTGTCAAAGTATATGGTAGACCATTCTATTCATCCAGTCATTCATTTAGCAAATATTTACTAAGTGCCTTCTCTGTGTTGGGCATTGTTTCAGGCACTGGGAGGAGAAAAGTGAACACAAAAGTCCCTGTCTTCATGGTGTTCATAATTTGGCTGCAGGGAAGAATCAATAAGATTTTTAGCTTCTGGATGTCACTATCTCTAACATTGCTTAACTGTCTTAATCTTTGAGAATGTAAATACACACAGAGAGAAGATCCTTCCAATACTCTGTCTTCTCAGTTTCTTGACTTCCTTCAAAGCTCTGTCCTCGGCCACTCACTCCCATGGTCATACCCTAGACCATGCCATGAATCTAATTCTCTCATTATCACTTTGTGTTTCCAGTTATTCTTTCTCATATTCTGACTCCAACAGTCCTTCAACACCAGGAACTGCAACCTATTAATCCTACATTTTGCATTATTTCTCTCCCTGTTAATGTCCTTTCTTCTAACTATGTAAGTCAGAATAAGCTAAGTGGTGCTGCAACAACAAACAATCCCAAAATTTCAGTGGCTTACATTTCAAGCTTTAAGAGAAGACTTTCTTGAGGAAGAAAGAAACATTTATTTGTTGATCCCCTACTGTGAACCCCTTTGTGTGTGTAACTACCATGGACTATGCCTCAAAGATTTAGGAGGATTTGCTTTTTTGCTTGCCAGAGAGACAAAGGGAAGATATTTGGGATGGTGGGGAGGAAATGTACTAAGGTATGCAGGTGATGGCTTTAGTGCGTGGGCAACAATGATGATAAGCCACGTTGCCTCAGCCTTCTAAACATCTCTTGAGTTCAATTACTTCTCAGTATCCTGCTGCTACAGCCAAGGGTCCAAGTTACCATCATCTCCTATCTCTCACATCATCTTCAACTGCCCCCAAACCCATCTCCCCAACTACAGCCTTAATTCCTCTCCCATCCATTCTTTCAGTGGAAGTCAGAGTGATTGCCCTAAAATGAAAATTTGATTATGTTCCTGGCTTGAATCATGCCTTCTGCATGACGCTAGGACTTTTAAGCCAGTCCTGCACAGCTCTGAGGGTCTAAATCTGTGAGTCCATTAAGTTAGCCACCAGCTTCCTGCATCCATGGGACACTTGAAATGTGGCTAGTTCGAATTGAGATGTGCTAAAAGTGAAAATACACCCCAGATTTCAAAGATGTAGTCCATAAGAAAATACTATAAAAGATTTCATTATAATTTTTACAAATACTACTACATACTGAAAAAATTATATTTTGCAGGTATTGGGTTAAATAAAATATATTGTTAGAATTAATTTCACTCATTTCCTTTTACTTTTTTTAATGTGGCTATTAGGAAGTTTAAAATGATATATATATCTCACATTATATTTATATTGGACTTCACTAAGCCCATATTCCTCTAGCTTCATCTTTCTTCATTCCTTTACTTTTAGTTAATGAAAAGTGTTTTTTTTTCCCTTGAAAGTAACAGAAAATGACTGAGGGCAATTGAAAATTAAAACTTAGGAGAATTGGTTGCAAGGGCCTTCTGAGTCAAAGGAATTGTTGATTGACCAGTCTGGGGAAGGAGCAGGGCAGCTCGAAGGCCTGAGTGGCAGAGGTTCACAGACATTAATGTGACTCAGCTCCATTTCTGGGTCTGACATCCCACATTCCAAATTCCTGGGAAGAGAGGATCTGATTAGCTCAGTTTAAATCAGGTGCATGTACTCTGGATCAGTCCTCTATGGCTACAGGAAAAGCTAGCTGTGAGCTGCCTACTGCTTATTTCCCACCCCTGCCTTGCAGCTAGTTTCCTAAAAGGCAGCATGAGCTCTCTAACCTCTAGGGGTCAGCAGATGTTTTCTGTCAAGGGCCAGATAGTCAATATATATATTTTTGCTTTGTAATCCATAGCGTTTCCTTTGCAACTACTCTGCTGTGCAGAGCAAAAGCAGCCAGAGACAATACATAAATGATTGGATGTGGCTGTGTTTCAATAAAACTTTATTTACAAAACCAGGCAGTGGGCCATAGTTTGATATAACCCCTACACTGCCCTTTCTGTTTTTTCTGTTCCTGGACTATCCTTTTGCTTTTTCCTTCCAGCAGGCTCCTAGTCATCCTTCAGGTCTTGGTTTAGACACCACTTCTTTTTTTTTTTGAGACAGAATCTCACTCTGTTGCCCGGGCTAGAGTGCTGTAGCGTCAGCCTAGCTCACAGCAACCTCACATTCCTGGGCTCAAGTGATCCTCCTGCCTCAGCCTCCTGAGTAGCTGGGACTACAGGCATGCGCCACCATGCCCAACTAATTTATATATATATATATATTATTTTTTTCAGTTGTCCAGCTAATTTCTTTCTATTTTTTTTTAGTAGAGACGAGGTCTTGCTCTTGCTCAGGCTGGTCTCGAACTCCTGAGCTCAAACGATCTGCCCGTCTCGGCCTCCCAGAGTGCTAGGATTATAGGCGTGAGCCACCACGCCCAGCCTAGACACCACTTCTTGAAAGTTTTCCCTAACCCTCCTCTTGTGACCAGTTAGTTGTTCTTTTTCTGTGCTCCCACAGACCCCAGTACCCCATCACTTCTCATGCTCTGATGTCATTGTTCGGTTCTAACCACTAGCTTACTAGTTCTGGGTCTCATTCATTATAAACTCAGCCCTTGGCATGCCTGGCACATGGTAGACATTTGAGTACCATTGGAAGAGTGGAAGAAGCCATGAACCTTGTGGCTGGCAGACAATCAGAACTAACATCCTGAGATCTTGGGCAATGGTGAGAATTCTGGACTTTTTTTTTTTATTGCTATGTGAGAGCCTCCTCCTGAAACTCTCTTACCTCAGCAAAGCACAGGTAATGTGACTACTTTAAGATAGGAGAAGTGGACAATTCTAAGGACTGTGAGCCCTGGAAAATGTGAGTCTGGGGTGAAATCAGGAGTGTGCCCATCCACTGCCTGGGGGAGACTTTCTGCTCCTTGGAAAGTTTCCCTGTGGGGCCCCACAGACCCAGGGGGCCCCAAGGAGGCAGGGGGAGGCAGTGTGTGGCCAAGGGCAGCCTTGGCCCACACTCACTCAGGGCCACAGTTTCGGGGTGGCAGAATGAACTTCCTGGACCCGAGGGGTTGGTCAGTAACGTCTGACAGAACCTGGCCAAGGGCAAGGGAGGCTGTGCGGCCCCGCCCCACGATTGTGGCCTCTGTGAGGCTTTGTCCAGCTGAGCACATCTTCCCTGTTGCTTCAAGACAGTAAGGAGAGTTTCTCCTCTTAATG